GATATAAGCCTTACGAATATGAATGTCATTAGATTGCGTCTATTAGCTTTCGTTGGTCGGGGTATAGGCCGGCGTTCCATGACATCTCAGACCCTGGCCGTTGATCGGAAGCACATCGCCCAATTCCGATGGCCCGGTACAGGTCGAGCTTATCTCAGCTAATTCGTAGGGCTACGAGCATGACCCCCTTTTTGTATGACAGCTTTTGCCTATGCCGTGAGAAAGCGGTAGGAGCCTCAACAAGTTGGTGGTATGTCTATCATATGCCTGCTGCTTTTAGTATGAGTATGAAAGGGCAATAACTACCAGGAACGCCATAAATACGCCGCAGCCCCGCGTAAAAGCTCCCTGAGATCTGGGAGGTATCGCTCGACGTCTTATAGATAGCCCACAGGCCTTTGACTAAAAATGTCTGCCTTCCTTATCGACCCCGTCCCTGTTCTTGATTTTTCTGCCTATCGAAATGGAACTACGTCTGAGCGGCGGGAACTTGCCATACGTCTCGTTGACGAATTCAAGAAGCACGGCGCTACGAGGCTCGTGAATCATGGACTCGAGGGTGATAGTATGTTGTGTTGTATGTTATCACGAGATAGCTTCTGCTAACATGAACTACCTCGAAGCCATCCAGAAAGCGTATCAATGGGTAAGGAGCCAACCATACTCAACATTGCTCTATCACAAGGATTTTAACACCTGGGAATACTAGAGTGAACGGTTCTTCAAGATTCCCGACTCCGAAAAGGAGGCCATCGCCAACGTCCGTGACGCCAACCCACAACGTGGATACAGTTACGTTGGCTCCGAGGCTACATCCAAAGCCAACAAAAGGGGTGAAGATGGCGAATTCCAAATCTGTGAGGACGACGACGTCGCCCAAGATCTCGAAGACGTCAAGGTTGGTACCTACCCACAATGAATCACCTAGCCTGGTTTGGTCATAGCATGAGAGCCTAACCTCCATAGGAACATTTCGATTACACCCGTGATGGTGATCCGGATTTTCCAACGCCATGGCCATCAGAGGATACCATACCCGGCTTTCGCAGCTGGATGGAGGGTGTCTTTTTGCCCGAGTGCCAGAGATTGGCTCGCGATATACTGACAGCTATTGAGATAGGTCTGTATCTTCCGCAAGGCACACTTACTGAATGTATGGAGTCTCACGTGGACGAACTACGGATTCAACGCTACCCGCCGCTGTCCACAGAGAAGCTCAAGACCGGCAAGATCAAGCGGTGCCATCCGCACACCGACTTTGGGTTCATAACTCTTCTATTCCAGGACATCACCGGCGGGCTTGAGATTGAAGACCGCGCAAACGGTGGATGGCTGCCCGTAGTACCTACTGGAGAGCCTACGGAGGTCGGAGTCTACATTAGCGATACGCTAGTGTATAAGACAAATGGGCATCTGAAGGCCGCGGTTCATCAGGTCACGGCTCCCGTATCTCTTAAAGACAAGGAGGACGGCGTCTTACCTGAGCGATACACCATTGCTCTTTTCGCCAAAGCAGATCGCCATGCTCATATTGGTCCACTACCCCAGTTTGTCACTGCTGAAACACCTCAGCGTTTTGATAACTTGACGGCTTTGGAGCTGCACAATAAGCGAGTTGGTCAACTGTATGACGCTAGGCCTGGGATGAACACTCCTGTGGTTCTCTCGGGCTAGCTGGTATCAATCGTGTACCCACGGAGCGCGTTACCGTAAAGTCCTTTCTATGGTGTGGCTGGCCGTGCGGCAACGCGTCGCACTGCTGGTGACAAGGTGGAAGAACTGGTGGAGCGCTGCATAGACAGTGTAAGGAGTTAGTGCACCTGGTAAAGGGACTGCATTCAGATTGAATAAACGGTGTTGTCGATTCTTCCCCCTATCACGTCTCGTCGCGAACTATTAGCCCATCAAAATCAATATCTCGTTGACCCCTATTCCCTACATTCTGATTGTTAGCCTTACTGAAATGATGTTGGAATACTAGAAGTTACTGACCTTCAACTGCCATTGTATAACCTTCGATTTCTTTCGTGTTCGTAGGCGGCTTCTTGAAGCGCGTCAGAGGACTGCGGCGGTGATCCCGAACCCACACCTTGTGATAATGGGCTGCAGCGGATCGACACCTTTTGCTTCAAATCTTGCTCAGAACTCTGGCCCTGGTAGCATTACACGTGTGTCTGGGCGAATCATTTCTGATAAGGGTACGTTAAACGAGCATGTCATATGTCCAGAAGCTATTCCATGGAAGATTTTCGGATCCCTACCACTCCAGCGTCATGTTACTCTGGTGCCTACCACATGCCATCAATCCTGGCCGTTTATCTCTATTTCCATAGAGCGATCTTTGAGATCTCAAAAGTAACGACGACCTTGCTTTTAGTCGGTCCTCGGCTGCGGGTGATTGCAACGGAAAATCGCTAGCAATATAGCTGGTAAGTATTTCTCACGCTATTTTCTCCGGAACTCTATGTTTCTAGGTGCTCACACTATCCACCTTTAAGCGCTGCGCGTTATACGAGCTCTCTGTACAGGTCTCAGGGGGTACTTCAATAAGAGAATAGTCTTTCTTGTTGAATAATTTGGCGACCTATGCTTTCAACGAGTATGCTGGTCAATAAGCGGGGCTTTCCCCCTATTATTGCCCCTTTTCTAGGTGCCTTTCGCATATCACAGCAATCCAGTTCGTCTGGGAACATATCAAGCCAACGATCGGTACAGGAATCGCCAAGACACTCATCTGCATAGGAGATTCTACTGATTGGCCATTGTGCACATGTCTTCCACGAGTGATAGTTGCAATGTTGGGCTTATGCATGTGGGTAGCAACCATCCCGGTCCGACGTTGCAGTACTCTACCAACTTACATACCTTAGGCATGTAGGTCAAGTACGTTGGTTGAACTGTATTAACCCACTTCTTGACGGGACTTCCTTTTTTATCACCTCATCGCATTTTAACGTTGGATTTTCCCCAATTGCCAAGGTGGAACCCCAGGGTGATGTTAGTACATGGCGGTGCGTCTGCATATCTCGGTGTCCAATCCTTCTGTAAGAAAGCCTTCGGATGTAAGTGAATATATTCCTGGGCGCTTAAAAGGAGCTCTAGAGAAAACTTGGCCCGGTAATAAGATTAATGTGAGGAAACCTGATAGATACCTAAGGTACCTAGAAGTACATGGTTCTAAAGAGGATTTAGACCAAGGCCCGCTCAGGCGAATGCCGAGATCAAAGGCGCCGCCACTCAGATCTGGGCCCCTGTTTCGATAACAGACTTCACCACTTGATCTATCATTCTCGTCAGCTCCGCCGTATGGCTTAGCATAGGCGAGTGGCCAGAGTTGATCTTCTGGATCTTGGATCCCGCCATCTCGCCAAATTTCTCCTGGTACATTGGGGGCGGACCACGGTCATTTTCGCAGACAACGTAAGTGGACTTGACAAAGCCAAAAGCCTCGTTGGTCATCTTGGTTTTCTGTACTGCGTAGGATTGGTCGATGATCTTTGATTCCCACTCTTGCACCTCGACGTCAGGAAGGTCGTGGTAGAGTATGTTAGCCGCGTTCTTTATGGTAAATCGGCCATCTGGCTTGACGTCGTTGTTTGGGGATTCGCCAAACGCGTCTAGCACCGACTGGCCAGTAGGGAGGATGAATGCAGCGATGTAGAACAAGTGTACTGCAGGAGCCCCAGTTAGCAATTCTTTCTTTTATTAACCCACAAGGAGGCTGCATGGTTCCTCATAGAGTATACAGATGACTTATAAGCTTGTTGCTCTCGTCATGGTGACTAGTGTTGGCACATGAGCAATGGGGGATATGCGGGCTAGGGATGCTTACCAACGCCGCCAGGAAGCCTAGCATGTTGTCGTTCATCGAAAGACAGGGCTCTGGTCACGGCTTCGGTGCCCACGAGCCCGCCGTACGAATGCATCACAACAAACACCTTTTCCCCTTGTTCCACGAGGCGCTCGACCTCGGATCGAATGGCAAGTGCATCGTCGGTCAAAGATTTGGTGGCAAAGTCCGGCGTCTCCCTATCAGTCAGACTTGGCAAAAGTGGGTGAACAACAGGATAACCGAGAGCTCTGAGGGCATCGTCTAGCTTATAGTATGCGTCTGGTAATTGAAAAGAGCCTTGGACCATGACAATGGTAGGGGTTTCCGTGGGTGGACCCATCTCGATTTCTTTTCTAATTTACAAAGGTCGTTAAAGAAATGAAAAAAAATGAAAAAAATAGCTGTAATAGGTAGTGGTGTATGAAAAGTTGAATCGATAGAAAACAATTCAGTTACTTGGACGGCGTCAAATAGTCTCGACCTTGGTTACTTACCTAAGTACCTAGGTACCCAGGTACTTACCTGGTACTTGAAGTAAGGGGGCAAGGCAATGAGTAAGGCTGGGTGGGGTAAAAGCGACTGTAAGCAAGTTTTCCCATGCAAGTGATTTCGATACAAATATCGAGTACCTTTCGACCTTCCATCATTCCAGCTCGTGTGGAAACCCCATTACGTTCATGGATTTCATTGTCGCTATAAGCTTTACCCTTTTTCATGAGATCGACGACGGCCTCTAAGTCATATGATGATAAGGGTATGTAATGCCGCTGAGAATGGTTCGTAGGAGGGCTGATTCCCATGGAGTTTTCAGGCATAATGTTCCTGGAGGTTCCAACATTAATAACTATCATAGTCAGAGGCATCATGACACTGAACTCTAAGGGAGCCGTTGATGGCTTTCGATGCTAATTCTCAGACTCAGAGTGAAGATTGCTGCCGGCATAACATGGTTTGCTAAGATAGGTAGGGACAGCTTTGTCCAGTAAACGTCAATACAACTTAGATTGTTTGATCTCTAAGAAAATCGCAATTGCCACCGACTTGCTTGGACACTTCATGATAGCAATCAATCTAATACTAGGACTGTATGCTCAACCAAATGGTATTATGCTATATAGGATCTATCACACAGGAAAGATTCCAACCGTGCAATCGACCTATTTAAGAGAGCGCTGTCGTCTAGTGGTAGGACAACACGTTAGGGATTACCTGTGAATCAATATCCGTGTAGACGATGGTTCGAATCCATCTGGCGCTAAATTTTTAATATCCTTGGGGATGACTTTTCTTTTCACTTTTCTCTAATACCTTGACCATACATTACGAACATGATGTTGCATCCTTACCTAATTAACTAGCAGAGAAAAGATGGTACAAGAGTGTCAAACGCCTCAGAAGTAATACCAGAATCATAGGAAAATGCCGTGATCGTACTCCGTAGCCTCACCGCCTCGGCTCTTTTCTCGACTGCTTCATCCCCTCTACCCATATCCGCAAGTATCTCTGACATCCTGAACATTGACCTCGCAACCATAGGGGTTGACTCAAAATTACTTTCCAGTATGGGAAGTGCTCTTTGAATATAGTCCCTGCTACTCTATTAGTTAAGTCCGAAGTCACTCGGCCGTACAACACATTAGTCACATACAGGGCTTGCGTCAGGTTCCCTTCCTTTTGAAGAATTGTTGCCATCTTGTGCATTCCTAGACCAGTCTTGAATTCATGGGGCGTAATAGCCTCACATATCTCCAAGGAGGCTTGAGAGGCTTCCTTGGCATCGCTCAGTCTCTTTTGGCCTTCTCTGACTAATGCTAGATAAGACAATCCCCTAAAGTCTACGTCAGTTCTCGAGGATAGTTTTAACAGATTAGGTATCATAATCAATAGATTAGTGAGAAAAAACTTACTGGCCGTATTTCTGTGATAGCTTCCCACTTGTCTTTTCAAAAAGGGCGAGACCTTTCTCCACGTATGTGGAAGCCAACCCCAACTCACCCATCTTCCAATAGCATAGACCTAGATCAAGATAAGAGAGAGCAGTCGGAGAACCGTCGTGTTTCCCACACTTCTGGCAGGCCTCATGAATTTTCACAGCTCTTAAATTAGACTGTAACGACTCTTGAAAATACCCGGCTTCCATGTAGACAATGCCTATCGAGAATAACGTATTGCCTAAAAGAGGATCTATCGGATCCAGTAATCTCTCTCGTATCTCGAGTACTCTTTTGCAGAGCTCTAGACTTTCCTTTATACGGTTACATTCAAACCGTACACCGGCCAAATTGAAGAGAACAGCAGATAGCGTTAGCAAGGCCTCCTCAGTATCTGGACAGGCTAACTGAGCAGTCATTATCAAAGGCTCTGCATCTGAGAACAAACCACGTTCAACCATGTACCTTCATATTGTAAGCCGTCTTGTAAATTTTGGGTGTTTGGTAAGGTCTGCAGCCATGTGGGAATTTAATGCATAGTAGAGGTGGCAACCTACCAGGTACACGCGCTCAAAAGGCTTGCCAACTCGGGGTCTTTTCGACCTTCGTTAAAGAGTTCATGTGATCGTCGGCAGATAAACATAACATGTGGTAAGTATCTCTTGCATCGATCCCAATCCTCCCACATTGGTTTACCTTCAATCTGGCGAGGAAACCTTCCGTTCAAAAGGGTTAAGGCCTGGTCAAAGGTCGTAATCTGAACTTCTCTACTCATATCCGAAAATGCGACGGCTTGGACAAGTCTATGGACCGTTACGTGGTCATCTGTCTGTGAGATGAGACCAGCTCGGCAAAGGCCAGCCAAAGCATCGTAGAGGCTAGCCAACGTCAATACAGTGAAGCGATACAAGTAATAGCTTAGGTAAAAAAAAAAAAAAAAGGAAATCTTACTCAAATTCGTTTGAAACTTGAATCAACGGCTGCACATGGTCAAAATTTGATTGGAGAAGCTCATTAGGAATACCGTCGGGGTCGAAATAGCAAAGTGCTCTCAAGACTGCTTTCATATCACCCTCTAACTCTCCAATAGAGAACGCAGTGGCAATACTATGAGGATATCCATCAGTGCAGTACTTTGCCTGATGTATCTTTGCTGCCGATTGTTGATATAACATCATGAAGCGCGAAAGGTCCAAGTGAGTCCGACTAATGTAGCTGCCAATATGGTACAGTGCCAAGGGCACCCCTTTCCACTCAGCTAAGACCTCTTCCATCTTTCTGCTGTGTTGCTTCTTTCTAGCTTCGCCACAGATTTTATAAAATAGTTCGGTCGATTCATTCTGGCTCAACGATGGAAGTTCGTATGATACGGCACCCTGAAAATCAGATACGTATGGACTTCTGCTTGTGATGACGATGTGACCGCTTCCGCCTGCCGGCCAAAAGTCTTCTAGGTGGCGAACCTCGTCGACATTATCGAAGATAACGAGCCAGGGTTTGTCTATGCCGTGTGTTAAGACATCATGGAGTTGTATATTACAAAAACAGCTCACCTGTCGTCTGTAGCCAGGATACCAATGACTGGGCATTTCTGCGGGGTTCCGCTTCCATCGACGTCCCCTCGAGCTTCATCTTCACAGCGTAGTTAGATAACCCACTTCCAACTTTCGCATGGCTGTCTGCTGTAATCCAAATACAGGCAAAATATTCTGCACCGAAGAGTTTACAGTATTGGGCTGCTAATTGCGTCTTACCCATCCCGGGGAGCCCATGAACGCAGACAACAGCTGGGCATTCGATCGATGAACGAAGCTGATCATGGATGAACTGAACGTTTTTTTGGCGCCCGTGAAAGTATTTGTTAACGCTTACTGGAATCTCCTGGCTCGGGAGCGGTACTGGGTTGACGACTGTAGCTCTGCTGGAAGGCATGCAGTTGAGCCGCTCGGCCCAGCTTTTGATTCTCTGTACCGCCTTCATGTGCTCGGCTTCGAATTCTATGAATCTTGAATGTTTTTTCTCGGGGGCTACAGGCGTTGTTAGTGCGCAGGCGCCATACTCGTGGTAAATATTTACCGTGGGGATATTTTAGGAGTGCCAGGGCCAGGTGCAATAATCGGGTTGCTAATTCGGCGAACAGGGGAAGAACAAAGCTTTCTTGCCGGACTATCGAGGACGGGAGAGAGGTAGTAACTGTAAGGTCTTCAAACATGCCTAATATTTGTTCATGTCCAAGTGTCCTCCCGTAAAGTTGCTGCACAATCATTAGTGGTATTGCTCAGATGCGACAGGACAGGGCAAAGCCTCACAGCCAAGATTAGGGCGGAGCTTCCCCAAATCATGGCCGTCCAATTGGGATACTTCCTACCTGTGATCTCATCCACGTCACTTACCAAGTTTACGAAGCCATCAAGAGATCTCAGCACCCCATCAATCCGAATTGCGTAGGTATGCTGTCCAGTAATCTTGTTCTGGATGGTGTTTAAGTGACAAAAGAGGGTTTCTCGAGATTTAATTGCCCATAATGCTTCTTCTTCGTCCGGGTTATTTCGCAACAGTTGTCGGAATGTTCGGATGACAGCTTCCATAGGACCTAGTTGAATGACAATCTGATACGGTCATGCTGTTATTTTGTTACTTTATTCGTCACTTAAAGCATGAGAAGCCCGTCCAGTTTCAAGGCTGGTTCATACTCAATACTTATAGTGTGCTTCTACGTGCATGACAAAGCTTCATTTATACTTAATCAAGTGGCTTACTTACAGAGAAGGTTCCGTAATATTATCGAGGACTAGTATTTGGTAAGCCCCAAGGCAGCCTACCTTAAACCGAGGCGCCTCAAGAAGCGATAGACGGCGCGGCAGGCTGCCCATTCTGGAGGCCTGCAGAAAGCTAACATTGAAAAGGCAGATTATCTCAGGAAGCGGTGAATCACCCGGGCGAATATTTGGACATCCATAAATGCGTCTACTATCCCTCTGTAGGTACCCATGCTTCTGTCCATTTCAAGCAACAGCCGTGGTGAAATCAACATGGCTGATGATATTGAGACTGGCCAACGCCCTGAAAGGGTCGAAGGGGGTATCGAAATGATTAATATTATGAGAAGACCTGCACATTGCCAAGTCGGTAAGTCCAAGCTGTCACAGCTGATCATATACTCGACTAGGTACCTACCTATCATTCTAACCACAGCATGTAGATCCTCAAGTCGAAATCTGCGGTCATCATGAGCACCTTTTCCGCCAATCGTCCGGCACCTACAGTGTATCCGGAGTGCAACACCACATCGACATGAGTTTCCAGGTGTACCGCATTCTTGCAAGCTTAAAAGGTTTCACAAGCCTTTTCGAGAGTGTGTCTATTCCCCAAGCCGGATTTGCTGCAATAGGGTGCTGGTACTTGGAAATCGTTTTGGCGATTTATGAGCATGCGTCAACCCAAAATGTGTTCGCTTGGGCATCTGTAGAGAGTATTCTTCGAGCCAAACACCTTTTCACGGAGGAGGACTCTTCAAAGACTGGATTATTACTATATCTCGTCTTCCACCTCACCGGAATAATGAGCTGCCTTTATCAGGCTGAGGAACCCGCCAATCAGGATAGATTTGTGCCGAGGCGTTTTTCCATTCAGTCTGCTTGCCCTATGACTCGTCACGAGTATTGGTGCTACTTCGGTTCTTACCTAGAAGCCACGAATCCTCATCGTCCTGTTTGCGATACGTTAACGGGTTTCGGTGAAGTGCTTCCCATCTAGGACGTGAATGGAAGATCTGCCCCGGAAACAGACTATGTGTTCAACCCCAACCAGCTCAACGCCGATGTCATCGAGAGAACTCTAAAGATGAATATCGTGTGGACAGACATATTGGGTGCGCATTTGGACATCGATACTAGCACGAATACTTTATTCCTCTTCCGCCAAGCAGCTGTATGTCTCCTCAACACTTCCGAGCCCACGGGCAGACAAACATTCTTGCGAAGGTATGTTGTTCCCTCAAATTTATCTTGAGGACATGAGGGTTGAAGATAACGGATCTCTCGATTAGCTGCGTTATCGATGGCATGATGGAGGAATGTCAATTAAGAGGCCTCATGTACGAGATCCTACTGTCGCTTTATGTATTATATGGACAGAGCCCCAAGTCCCGACAAAGATTCGATGAGGATGAGGCATTCGGTGGCATACCCCAACCCCACCGAGATAGCCTGCTGCAAAGACTGTGCCGCGGTCTGTGGATATCCAACGAGTTGCAAAGTCGACACAAGCGGGTTTATATACTGCATACCGACTTTCCAATGCTGGGTGCGAAGCTACAGTTCTTGAG